GTGGCAAGTCTAGATTTTCACAGTTTCAGGAAATGAAGAAAGTCTCCGGGCACCTTTTCATTATATGTTATGATTATTTTTTTTATGAACATTTTTTCTCTCTGTAAAATATGTTCATTTCAAAGTCAAGACGTTAGTCTAGCAGATATGCAGTGGTGTATATGTTACAGTTAGATTGTGAAATCAGTCATTTCGTGAAATGACTATTAAATATTTCAGTCATTTTGTGAAATAACTAAGAGGGGCAACCATTCAACTATCCCTACTGCTCGTTCTCTTTCTTCCTGGGTTAACCTTGGTATTCTCTCTGAGTGACTTTATGTGCAGTGATATTGTAGTGTTGGACAGGTCATTTATACTGATTTTTCGCACGATCATTCACATGTATCCGACTAAGACATGTGTTTCGTCTTTCTGAGAGTCGGGGCCACAAAATACGTTTGGCGATTTGTTTCGTGCATCATGAACATTGGCAGTCGTTATCAAGCATATTTACATCAAATTTGATGGCTAACTTGTTTGAGTGGCATTTGTGGAGGTTGGGAAGTACAATATAGAACAAACTTTATGGATAACAAGTTCTTTTTATTCGCGAGTGCGACGTTTCGATACAGATTAGACATTTGGTGCTTGACAACGGTACAAGAATCTGTATCGAAACGTCGCACTCACGAATAAAAAAGAAGTTGTTATCCATAAAGTTTGTTCTATTTTAAATTTGATGGAAACGTCCAAACCTATTTATATAGCCAATAGCCAAATGGCTGATCCTGTTAGTCATTTTAAGAAATGACTGAAATTTTTAGTCATTTCACGAAATGACTGATTTCACAATCTGAATAGTATTCGAGAATAGGGTACTATACCAATAAATAGTTAGCACCAGTGTGTCATATTACAATGTATAAGAATACTGTAAGAAGATGACGATGATGTTGATGATGATGATGATGATGATGTCGATTTGGAGATTTAACGCGCGAATACTATACACATGATTCGCGCACTTAAATCAAAAGACTCTGGACATCAGCAGTGCAGACTGATCGATGCCCTGTAACCAGATCCCCCTTGACAGGTGGTAACTGACCGGCACGCTGACCATCAGCTGTCACTGATCTTCAACATGAGGTTCAACAACCACGATGTCCAGTAGGAAAATAAAGGAAGAGGAAGGGGCATGCCAGGCACATGGTCAGAGCAAATATAACAAAAGTTGTGTCAACTCTGGCTATTCAACACTGATATTAACAAATATTGTAACACTAGGTCTGTGCTAATATGTACCCACTATTAACATTTCCTGGTCCACTGTGCCAATACGGATCTCAATGGTATATGTTGGCTTGGTATTGTCGGGAGGTCATTAGGCGCATGTTGATAGCATGTCGATATCATGTACATTTCACATGTGCTATTTACTTAAGTCCGGACAGGTGCGAGGTGTAAGGCTTCATACGGGATTTCTAACTTTTGGAAAGGTCGGAATTTGCTGGCATTCTTGTAAATGTTGCTTTTGGTAAGAAAAGAATGTTGAACCAGACAGGATCAGTTCAAGAAGCATTTACAGTCACTGAAACAAAGGAAGTCACAAATAAACTTCAATGAAGGTTGCGATTTGATCATAGAACTCATGGTGAGGCCCATTTCTTCACGAGTTTATGAGGTACGTTATACGTTATTACATTGGCTGTTTGCAATTTTCATTTCAGTCATTGCATGCAGTTACATTCACATGACGGGAACAGAAGTTCAGTTTTGGAATCGGGTGGCATTATGCTAATATCGTTGTGAAGGGGGCAGTGGGGTGGCCTAGTGGTTAAAGCGTTCGCTCGTCACGCCGAAAACCCGGGTTCGATTCCCCACACGGGCACAATGTGTGAAGCCCATTTCTGGAGTGCCCCGCCGTGATGCTGCTGGAATATTGCTAAAATCGGCGTAAAGCTAATCTCACTCACTCACTCGTTGTGAAGGCAAATGATTTCATCTGAGACGCTGTGTGACCCAGTTAACTTACTAAACCATACCAAACAATGTTTTCACTTAAAAATGAAATTTTAACGTTCAGTTAAATGTAAATCGTTCAATCGTGTTATGTTTATAAAGGTAGGTGACTTGTACATAGGTCTTCGTGTGCTAAACATTTTATGTCTTCCATATTTAGCTGACAGGCCGTGACATATCTAAAATACTATTCAAAACGGAGTTACATCAAGCCTACTTCAGTTTCTTCCAAATATACTCGCTGAAGGATGCACGTCGTGACACATGAAAGGTGGTATTTCAGATCCATTAAGGATTACCCTGTATTCATGCATACAAGTTCACTTATAGATTCTGTATTCATTCACCTGTACTATCACGGGCCTTAAGCAAACGGTGGTATACCCCGCAGTATCGGGCATGGAACAAACAGTTATGAATGTTTAAACAAATGTATAGGCGGAGCCGCACCATGTTCACACAATATCAGGACATCTCTCGGTCATAGTGCAAACACACTGATCATTAGACGGCTGTGAAGTACTCGGTGATTGTCAGTGCTATGTACGGTGCTTAAATACTTGAGCCAACTCACTCGGGGTATCCGTATGTATATACGCTAACGATGGTTGATATGGGTCACCATCGGTCAACTGGTGGCAGCCAGGTGTCAGGACAATAATAATGTTAAGTATATACGATATACATGTCACATTCTGTCTGGAAGTACAAGGAGAACCAAACGTTTGCATGATTGCTGAGTTTAGGTCCAGTGTACCGAGTTACCCTTGTAACGTATGGAGTGAGTGAGTTGGATTTTACCCCGCTTGTAGCAATGTGGCATCTATAGCACTGCGGGGAACACCAAGTACTGGCTTTTAACATTGCATGTTGAATCGAACCAACTACAAGGCTTCTCGTCTACACCAGGCAGGCAGGTATCGACAGGAAGGATTTGGGTGTAAATTGGACTATGTTGGCAATGGGTAAAGCCTATTTAGTACACAATTACCCAAATACAGGGCGAATATCAATTAGCACTTCGCAATGAGCTGACACAACTTGTGTTGTAACATATGTTATGATGAAAATTCTGGTTGTTAAAATCAATGTATTCCACTTTAAACTGAAAATATTTGTTCCAATACATCTGAACAAGGCATTAATCGAAGCTGGGTTGCCTTGAAAAGTGTTCACACTTGAGATTCAGCAATATGTGTATATCTCATCGTGACTATTGTGTACTTTCAGTTCTGATTAGATGGAATTAGATGAACACTAATCAGAATTGGTATTACCGGTCTGTGTTTGTATTTGCAACACAGATAATGTGTTCTGTAAACCCAAAGTAGCTGATCAATGTCTTACCTTTATAAGTGCATGACAATATTGGAAATATAAATCTAAATTTAGAAATCCTAAACGTTGGTGGTAGTAATTGTTCGATCTGACAAATCAATTGAACATCATAAATATTTTGGATTTCATTAAACACACATAAGAATATTTACTTTGAATGTAAACTGACGTGCAAAAAGCATGTTCTTGAATTTGACCTAAAAAAGACAAACGCTATCAAGTGCCACCAAAATACTTCAAACGTTAGGTCCAAAACTGACACTCGTATACCCAACCACCGAATAACCATATCTTGAGTATTTCATGTTTTAGCCAACACCTAACAGTTTAGTGTCAAGCCACGAATGCAGGAGAGGAGTCAATCACCCTAAAATATACAAAGTATCAAAAACATTATAATTATATTTATATGAGCCTTGTTAATATCAAATCTATGTACAAAATAATCCACTAAATAATTGCCTCAGAAAAAAATGTTAATGACGGGATTATTAAACCGAGCACATCTCTTGAGCTAATTGACAGCCCCACCCAGGAGCCGTCGCGTATAACTGGTAGTCCAGAACACAATCATGTTGTGCGAATTGTCACATGAACACTGTTATAGCTCATATAAAATTTTAAATGATTAATTAAAACATAGCTTTACAACTGGAAAAGATTTCTGAATATTTTTAACATATAGATATCATGTACAACAAAATCTAATAAAAGTAAATGTTATACACTAAATTAAAACCGTTCGAGGTCTTTACAAACCAGTTTAATTGTAATGATGTCACAACAGAAAACTGATGAATACGATTTGTGTAATTCGCCAGACAAGTGATTCGCAATTTAAAGCAAAGACACTTCTTTGATAACTGTAGAGGCGACGGAAACACACCAGACACATCTGACAGCCATATTACATGTAACAGTTGTTCGTTTAGGGGAAGTGAAGACAATCAGACTAGGTCGGGACATTGTTACCGAGACTGATCCATTTAGCCGTGAGCACAGTTCTGGATATCCGGATATCCGCGTCCGTTAAAGCGCCCGGCGCAATAATCTTCAGACACGTGATATTCTTAGAGAGTCATGGCTGAAATATTGTCGATTTTAACTCACTCACTCACTGTTCTTAGAGAGGATGAAGTGTTTGACCTTGATAAGGATGTGAGTGAGTGAGTATGGTTTTACGCCGCTTTTAGCAATATTCAAGCAATCATCATGGCGGGGAACACCAGAAATGGGCTTCACACATTGTACCCATGTGGGAAATCGAACCCTGGCCTTCGGCGTGACGAGCAAACGCTTTAACCACTAGGCTACCTCACCGCCCCTGATAAGCATGTGTTAGTGGGGACCATTATTCTTACCAGCAGCAATAGTGTGCAGCATACACAATGGCGTTCGGATAACTTGCTAGTACTGTCGACCTCACCCGTTCAAAGTTTCAATCCCAACTTTCTTTCTTTCTTACATGCTCATGCTGTTGATCACTGGATTGTCTGGTCCAGACTCAATTATTTACAGACCGCCGCCATATAACTGGAAGACTGCTGAGTGCGGCGTAAAACTAAACTCACTCACTCTTTCCTTCTTACTAAAAGCTGCTTTACTGTTTCAGGCTTACTCACTGACGCACCGTCCACGCCATTTGGAACTAGCCTGACATGCCTTCTCCCTCTGTGATCCTCCTGATAGTGACCTTGACCTGCCTACCTGACCCTGCCCACCTAGTTCAAGTCATCTCATTTGACCTTGTAGAGGAGCAGGAGGTCAACGTTGCGGTAGGATCTGTCACGGACGTTCTGGAACTGGATGAAGAGAAGACGGATGACCTCTTGGCCTCTCTCCGGTACAGTGTCCTGCCTCATGGTTATCCCCACAGTTCCCTGTTCCGGATCACGGATGGGAGGGGGGAGATATTTGCCGTGGAGAGAATCGACAGGGAAGAGATATGCAGTTTTGCAACGTCGTGTTCTCTCAACCTAGAGTTGGTTGTGCAATCGTCAACGTTCCAGCTGTTCAAGAAGGTCCGGGTTAATATTGTAGTCATTGACGTCAACGACAACGCTCCCACGTTCCCGTCGAAGTCTGTAGCTCTGGACATCTCGGAGTCCGTGTCCGTCAATTCGTCGTTTGCGGTTGAAGGAGCAATTGATCCGGACACTGGACGCAATGCTCTTCAGACATATGATATTCTTAGAGCAGACGGAGTGTTTGACCTTGACATTAAAAAGAATCTCGATGGCGGCAGCGTTGTAAATCTTATTGTTAGAGAAACCTTAGACAGAGAGCGGAGGGATTTCTACAGAATTTATCTAATGGCGAAAGATGGTGGAATTCCTCGCAAGTCTAGTCTTCTAATGGTTAATATAACAGTCACAGATATCAATGACAACGCACCAGAATTTCCATTTGCACAATATAACGCCACTGTCAAGGAGGTGGTTTCTGTTGGCCACGTGGTTCTGGGCATTACCGCATCTGACGCTGACGCTAGTGTCAGTTGGAGACCATTTTATAGAATCAGCCCTCTCCAGTCAGGTGAGGCGAGAAAGTTTTTCAACATGAATCCTAGAACAGGGGAGATAACCGTCATATCCCCGCTGTCAGAGATCCAAGGAAGAAAACTGAAGTTCGTTGTGGAATGTGTTGATGGTGATACTCCACCGCTGGTTGGCCAGAGCGAGGTGGAAATATTCGTCCAGGATACAGAAAATACAGAGCCAGTTATAAATCTCAATCTTCTGAATGGCGGAATGGTGTCAGAGTCCTACAAGCTTGGCACAGTTGTAGCTCACCTTGCCGCAAGCGATCCGGACTCGGGGAGAAACGGCTACGTCAAATGTTCCATTGATAGCTCGACATTTGAGATCCAGAACCTCGACGTCAGTGAATACAAGGTGACCTTGAAGCGGTTCCTTGACAGGGAATCTGAGAGCGAAGTCGGTGGAATTATCACCTGTCAAGATGAAGGTGAACCTCCCCTGAACATCACTGAATCGTTCACAATGACAGTGTTTGATGAGAATGATAACGAACCCACCTTCACTAAAGAAGTGTATGAGATTACTATAGAAGAAAATAACCAACCTAACATCACCCTGCTGCAGGTGACGGCACTCGACTCGGACTACGGTGATAATGGGAAAGTACATTACTCCATCACAGAGGGGCGTGACTCTGGTGTGACGATTTCTCAACAAGGGGAGATAAATGCGCTACTCTCATTCGATCGAGAAGATAAGGCACGGATTCTGTTGATTATTATGGCTAAAGATAACGGCACTCCTAGTTTAAATTCTACTGCAACGGTTGTGATTAATCTTCAAGATGTCAATGACGTAGCCCCGACGTTCAGCCAAAGTATTTACTCATTTGAAACTCCTGAAAACCTGCCCCGAGGAACTCAGGTAGGTCAAGTGTCGGTGTACGACCTTGACGATGGAAGAAACGGCGAAGTGTTCTTAAGTATTGAATTATTATTCGAGGATATTGAAAGTTTCCCGATATCTGTCACCCAAACAGGGGAACTGAAAACAACCAGACCCTTAGACAGGGAAAGGGAAAATCATTTTGAGTTTGCAATACTCGCAACAGATAAAGGAAGAGAGCCCATTACAAGCACTGCTAAGATCTTTGTTGATGTTAATGATAAGAACGATAACGCTCCTGTTCTTTTCTTCCCATCTGAAATAAATGACACTATTTCTGTAACTTACAACACTGATCCGGGTACAGTCGTGGTGAACATTGATGCTATCGACAACGATGCGGGTGATAACGGCAAGCTCGAGTATATACTGACATCAATTGAGAGGGTAGAAATAAGACTTGAGGGCGTTGATTTTGACGATCAAACGGAAGAACTATTTAGCCTCGAGTCCGAAACAGGGGAGATAACTCTAATACGATATCCTACCCTAGATGATTTGGGAGTGTATTCTCTAAACATCATGGTTCGAGACCACGGTACTGTGTCGTTGTCGACGAACACCACGTTAATCCTAGAAATAGTTGCTAGTAACGAGACAATAGTAGCTCTGCTAACTGGTACGGCGGAAAGCAATAACAACACGACGATAGTAACGGCACTGGGATGTCTGACCGGCCTCGTCATCGTTGTAGTAGTCGTAATAATCTTTACTATTAGGATGATTGATAGGGAGAGAACGCTGAAACGTCAGCAACAGTTGCACGTGAAAGTGGAACCTCGCGACGGCGACTTGAAGTATGATGGGGAGATCCTTGAAAGTGGTCACAAGCTGACACGTTCTTTGTCGTCACCGAGGCTGTCTAGTCAGGTGTCCCATGGATGGAAGTTCCTGTCAGCGTGGCATCTGGGGTCCGGCGACAGCAGCAAGTTGGCGGCAGCACACAATTGGGCGAGGAGTAAGGTGAGACATTTGTACCAAAATACAGCAGTTCATTATATACACCATTCAAATAAACCAATCCAAATCTAGTTTTATCATCGGTAAGACCACATGGGTACAATGTGTGAAGCCCATTTCTGGTGTCCCCCGCCGTGATATTGCTGGAATATTGCTAAAAGCGGCGTAAAACGAAACTCACTCATCGGTAAGAGTTGAGACCGAATGCTTTAGGCCATCACGTTATGTGAAACAGACTTCAAATGAAAATGAAACAGTTTGAGAATACATGTGCTCTCATTTCATCTCTTGTTTCGAGGAACGTTTATCGCAATACAGCTGGTTGTCACATGTCTGTCAGTGTAAACATTAAAGTAACTCACAGAACCTTAATGGAAAGTAAACTGAACATTCATAAATAAATAGAAACGGAAGTCCCAAGGAAGACAACCAAATATATAAATCATCCATACACATGGACGAAACAATAATCAGAGGATCTGGTTTCCTGGGAATCCCGTAGTCTACAAGTTGACGAGGGGCTGAAGGTTTCCTTTAATTCCACTGTCTGTGAGATCCCATTGTCTGTGCACTCAGGCATGTGGTTATGAGACAGCACTGAGAATACTATCCCCCACAAGAGCAGCCCCTAGTTAACCTCCCCTCGTTGCACCCTTTATACGGGATTTAAAAAAGTCATTTCTCTGACCAGACCACTTAACTTGGCCAGGTGACATATTACTTTTCGCTATCTCGTGCATCTAAAACGTATTCAGAGTACTAGATGTATTGAATGTTGTCTCCAAGTGTGGATCGGTAGCAGGCAGGAATTTGGAGACACGCACTGGCTTGGGACGATATTGGGAAGCGTTGCTATGCAACGAAGAAAACAATCACGATCTGCTCGTGCATCGCGGGTTTCTGTTGCAATATGCGTTTGTTGCCATGGTAATACTTAAGGAGCAGGAAGAGTTAGATATGAAAGTATTCAGTTGAAATGAAGGAATTCAACATAAAGTGAGTCTGTGTGACAGATGTACAAATAAAACATCCATCAGTGTTGTTTATGTCAAGTTGGAGAAAAAGAACATCCTGTTTCTCTATCTCTGAGATTCTTTAAGGCGGACACATGGAGTTTATAGTTTGGAAGGCTTCCATAATGGATTCTTTATTACAACAGGTGATGCTGATTTAGACATGAATGAGAAGAATAAATGCAGATTCTCCTCGCTCAGAGCAGTATTGATTTACCACTAAAGCTGAACGAACTTACAGATTGCAACCAAATTATGTTTATTACCAAAAATCAAATAGTAAATAATCATTATAGATTAAACACTAAAGCTGAACAAATTGTACAGATTCAAATTCAAACATTCATTGTTTGTCATATTAAAATCTACAAACATACGGACCAAATTCAACAATGACGTCGAGCCTATTCTACAGATTTTATACACATTGCTTGTTACAATAAAACCAAGTGTATCACTTTTGTTCAGAGCGTCATTGATTCAACAGTAAAACAAAACACGAATTTTACAGTTTTTGTATTTTTGTATATACTAGACATTTTGAATAATATAATTTGGGAAAGGTTAGCGATTATTTCAGTGTTGGTGTTAATTTCCATAGACTACAACTTGTAAAACTTGTCCTGTCTTCTTGGTCAGTAACTGGGTTTAGGATAGTGTGGTTTAGAAATCGGATTTAGACAACATAGATACGTGTCAGTGCACCAACTGAAAATGTGCATTCCTATGTTACATAAAAGTCACGGTCAGATAGCTAAATACATTTCAAATTACCTTTTTATGTGTATAATTAATAAATTAAATTAATTGAAGTATAAGTAATATAATTTGTTTCCATAACTCTACATCTTTCGACAACACACTGACGCATTGACGTAACAACTCCATCACATCTCGTTACGACGTTCAGGTCTGTCAACATTCACAATAAAATGGTAGGCTACGGCGGAAAAAAAACTCCACCATGTTGTCGACAAAATGATAACCAAATACCATCTATTAGTGAAGAAAACCCTTCAAGTGATTTATGAACATATGCGACCAAGTTCAGGCACTTCATGAGACAAACACACTCATACATTTCAAAATCTGTCATGATTATAAGAACTTATTTCCTCAAACATTACAAGACACAACAGGTTGTCGGCCCTCCATTTGTCCCCCATTTTCCTCATCCAACAATACACCCTCCCAACTCCAGGGGGTATAATAGCCCTTGAGAAGACCGAACTCAACATCTCATGTCTCGTTATCGGCGCTGGCATCCCTAGTTTATCCCCTAAATCTTTATGGGTTTTCTACTCGCCTGGAAATAATTCACCCTTTATAGGGTGAACCCTTAAATCCTTTCAAGGGAAGATCTCCTTTCAGGAGGCCCTTTGTTCCGGTAAGTTTTTGTTGGCAAAAATAATGACGGCTAATTTACGTATGACCATTATAGGGATTCGGGCGCTGGTTCTGAAAAAAAGAAGCCGAAAAAGAAAGGTATTTGTATTTTGAGGACAAGCGGATTTGAAAATGAGATGGTCAAAGGAGAAGTTAAGGGGCTTTGGACAATGCATCTGGTTTTTTTCTTCTAACGACAAGATTTAGTGATTTTTCTGTATGAGAATGCAAGTCTCAGATCCAAGTGTGATGAATCACTTTGAGTCCTGCACCATGGCCTCCAGTCCACTTTGAAGTCTCTCTCTTTGCTGGAGATAGCATCTGACGTTTGGAGTAGTAACAGTGAGGAGTCTGGCCGTGAAATGTAGCCTCCGTGATCACCAGACGTCGTGGTGGTTTGCTGGGGCTAATACACTTAGGTGTGGTGTGATGTACGTGATTGCCCACCAAGTGCACATTTTCACTGATAATTGCTCATTAAATTAAGGGTTTTGGTTAGTTTGAGCACTGTAAAACTCGACATTTCGTATTTGAGGTCCGAGTCAGTCGGAGTGTCGATGTTCGACTACTGTATCGGTGATGATTGTGCTTGGACCATGAAACTACATCGCCTGAACGAATGTATCCAGATGGTCGAGTTTGTAGAAGACATCTCTGCAACTGACAATATTCATCAAATATATTAAATCTCAAATTACAATGTAAAGCCGCCCCAAGAGATATTTGGGAGAACATTATTTGGTTTACTTTCAGGTTTACTTCCCACAACCGTTAACTGGACGGTTCATCCTTGTATTGTTTGTTTGGAAGCAGAGGCCAAAAAGGGTCCCTTCTCAGACCAAAATCCAAGCGCCCACCCGATAATATTTCATGATCTCTTATCAGCCTGCAATGCGTCTTGAATGGAAATCACAGCAGCGACAAAGACCACTGGCATTACATGTCTCATCTGTCTGCCAAAGTTCACCCAAAGATTTGAAAGTATCAGTAACGTACAAAAACACTGAAGTCCGCATACTTAATCAATCAACAAAATGGAGTTAACAGTTTGAAGAACAGGTCAACGAGTTTTCAGACATCGCGTTTCCATGTCAATTAAGTAAATTTTGTAAAGTAGAGATACTGTCGGTGTAATATGATCGTGATATGTTTCATATTCCAATATTATTTGTACCACACAAAGCCAATATGACCACCTGCTTCACCTGTACAAACGCCATGCGACATTTATCGTTAACTTTTATTAAAAATTGGTTTCTGGTGAAACGGCTCACAAAACAAATCCTAATTAACTGAAAGCCCACGTGGTCTGTGACAAGGATATTGTTTACGTCTGACACTTTAAATGTTTTGGCTATCTACGGGCTTTCTCACGCGATCGCACGGTAGTTGCCGGCACGTGCAACGCTATACACATTTAGCTAAATCTGCAGTAAATGGCTTCATGATAATCCCGCGAAATTAGTGCAGCCTACCACGCGATGCGAAAGTTTCTATAGTAGTGTTTTATTTAGTCTGGAAATGGCTATCAGACAAGGGACAATGAAGCTCTGACAGTATGGGGCTAATCGCAAGGTTATTACTCCGCGTTCAATGTTGTCCACTTGTGAGAGTTTCCAGATTAGCTGAACTCTGAAGTGGACATTGAAATGTATGTCAAATATAAAGGTTTTATCTATGAAAGACTAACATTACATCCAGTAACGGGTGAAAAGTTCACCGAATCGTGTGATTTACAGACTAACAAGGCGCAGACCTAGGGAACCTGTGCTATTCACAGTTTTAGGATTCATCGACCACTGATTAATTTGATCAATATTTGAAAGTTAGCTTCACGCCTCCTTGGCCATATCACGACGGGAGGCACTCAGCATGGGTTTCTCACCTGTGGTGGGAATCGAACACGGACCTTTGGTATGACGAGCAAACACTTAAATTGTCACGTTGAATAACACTTGTGTATTGTGATGTCAAACTACTTCATATCAGAGAAGAAAATACGTCCTGTTCGATGTATCTTTGAAAAAGGTTGTTATTCTGATATTCTCACAATCCATTTGTGAAGCTCTAATACCACATTGGCCATGTTGATAACTTACTATATTTAATCTAATTATTATTATAAAAATTTCTTCTTTGAACAGTTTATGGATACTTTTGTGACAGTTTATAAGTTGGAGATCCGACTTTTGTAAAATCAAATCAACTGATATTATAAGCGGTTAGTGTGATCATATTTGTCTATTTTCTCTTCCTGCACTTCTTTCAAAACCCAGACAAGGAAGGTATCCGCCGACAGCAACGACAGTGGTAACAGCGGAAGCGACAGCGGCAAAGGGGGGAGTGACGACGATAACCATAGCAACGAGACTTCATCCCTTCAAGGTGACAATCATAGTATCAATATTTTCGTCATATTTAATTCATTCCGATGGAATTTTATACGAAAGACGTGATGTAATGCGTTGATGAATATCTGTTGAGATGATATTGGCATATTGTATGTATTCCGTAGTCAATGAACCAGTCAATGGATTCCGAGTTAGGATTCATTGTCTTAAAGCATCAGCATGGTTTTTCTGGTGTATATGTTAATAAAATTAATTTCAAACATATTCATTATCCATAGACGCTCCATTATAAAAAAATATATTATAAGACATTATGCCACTTATTTCTCTTGTTTTAAATGTTAATTATGTATTTTAGTTGATTTAGGTCCTGACGTTATACACGCATATTAATATATATCTGTCTTTGGTATTCAGTACATGTTTGTTTTCGCGTGATGGTTGTCATGTGATCGAACGGGGACGTTCTGAAAGTGGCATGTGCATTAAGAATGGTTCCGTGCCGGATATATACTGCTGCGTTCTGTAATGTACTCGCCCATGCACGTGTGATAGCACACTGGTGCCAAGCCTAGGTCACGAGCTCATGGAATTCGTTTACAGTGTATTAGTCAACTGAATCTCAAACATGTAGTGTACTCTTGTAGTCTCTGTTATGCCAGTAGTATGAGTGTCGCAGACTTCCGGTAGCAGTCGGTTTCCCACGTGGAACCATCAGTGATTCCCAGTGATTTATTCATATGATTTTTCAACACTATTTCAGATTTTACGGTCAACGGATTCATTTCATTGGCCTTTGTCCTGATAGTTGAAACGAAAATGGGTGCACCCTCCCTTTCTCAACAGTGTGCACCCCCTTCTCAAAAAAGCTATATTTTATATTTTGTTATATACTATTGTAATAATCATTTTCAGGCAACTCAACGGACAGGAAGCTCTTAGCAACTGACTACAATCCGCCCGAACCAGAGTACAGTGTCGTTATTCGACCAAATAAGGAGAAATTTGACTGCATGCAGAGCAGACGACTCTTGCCGAAGCTGGACGAGATTTCACTGCCCTCGGACGAGCTGTATGCCGACTACTGCAGTTTGGATACAATCAAGGAAGAACCAGAAAGTCCCTATAAGGAGATCGATTTTCATTTTGAGACCCCGGTTCCTAAATTGCGACAGCCGAAAAAACTGCCTCGGAACATCATGAAAGATAACGAAGATCAAGGACTCATAAGGGCTAAAAGTCGAAACGATCTGCGCATGTCCGGTGACAGTTCGGATGAAGAGACTCTGAAGAGGGCTAGTGTCGATGGCGTCAATTTGAAATGTGGCGATTCCGTCATATTTGATTTAGATCTGCAGAAAGTTGACGATATCTTCGTCTGATGTTACTATGACTGTTGTCCATATTTATTGTAAGTATGACATATTTACCATAATTAAATTACAAAATCATCCATCCATTCATGTACATATGTAAATGAAGATTCTAATCACAGTGAGTGAGTGAGTGGATTGAGAATGACGTCTTACTTTGCAATATATTGTGGCTATATAATGTATCGTTCCTGGGTCAGACAAACAAGGGGTTGATAGTATGAACATCTTTAACATACAACCAAGCCTCTACCCGAGCACCACACTCATACTATGCAACAAATGGGACCACCCAATCATCTTTTAATGCTTGTTAGTTGTTCCTTGCCGTAGTAAGCAATATTCCCTCTGAATGATGGCGGCCTATAAATATGGATCAGCCCCAAGATTCAGTGGGCGACGATGTCGTATTGGCCACAGTCATTTACCGACTATCTGCTGAAAACCCCCCATGTGTGTCTCTTTGCGAGCACCTCAAGCATTTCACGCCTCCCTGCAAGGGACTCACATTATGATGCAACAAACCTAAAAGATCTGTTCTCCTCTGAGCGCTCATCTGATAGTGAACCCTGATGATCTCCATGGTTGTAACTATAAATTGTAACAAATGCGACTAACAAATTGATTTGTATCTTTTTGAAATAAAACTCATCCGAGTATGTACTTACAATGTTTATTAATGCAGGTTCTCGTCACTATCGGGATGTCAGTTAACACAACTTATACATGGTTGTACATCTTTGTATCTCTCTCATGTTCATTTGATCGGAAATCGATCATTTGATCGGAAATCTGTCAAACATGTATTGACTTGTATGGACTGATTATGTTTATTAACAAATGCAAATTACAAAACATTTGCGAGGACATTATGCATTGAAAGTTATCTTTGTTGAAGAAATACATATATTTCAACAATCTGAATTACCACAAAATTGTATTTTTAGTGACGGATTTGTGTGCCGTGTTGGTAATATGTCAATGTGTTTTGATAACATGTCAATACATGTATATATAATGTGATGCTTTCATTATCTGACCATGACAATTTTAGTTTTGACAAACGACAAACTAAAATACTGTGTTAATCAACGTCACTACCTTGTAAATACACACGTAATTATTTCATTGTTCATACCATAATTTTACTCTCCTTCACACGCAAGAAAGCTATAGTGCTGACATTTCAGAAGGTATTTACTCATGTTTGGAAATATAATAATTCCATGTAAATATTTCATAACTTATATCATCAAGGTAATATATTCCAAACTCCATCGAATTTCGTCACACACATTATTCATATCATCAGATAATCACACTGTATTTGGGTTGTGAATGTGATGACTTATCTGTTCGTATCAATTAATGTATTTATTTAATGTATATATGTATTGCAGTTTGATCTTTGCAGGGCAGTGTCTGTATTGTTTTTATTTATATATATTTCCCTTGAAACATTTATTGAATAGATTCAATTGCTGGGTGGGAGAGAGATTGTATTTGATTCAGTGTACAGGTATGTGTGAAGAGTAGCAGTTCAACTTGTACACATTCGATTTGTATCAATTCCATGTACCGTTGAAGACAATCAATTCCATGTCAAACAGTAACGAGTCTCGACGTTCTCTAAAAGGTAATCACATCCTTGTCCAACGGTGGCAGCCATCAGAAACACACGCAGAGGCAAGGCAAGTGTTCACCAGCACAGGAATCTGATGTAGCCAAGACAGGGAATTGCACAGGGCATCATTTCTGTTACTGATGTGTCAAAAGTGGATTTTTGCTTCACTGTAAAACAAGAAAGCTCTACTGAGACCGTGAATGTTGTAACAGTCGTTATACATGTTCTGGCAGCTGTAAATACTAATAAAAGTAAAAACACATACTAATGTATATACAAACATGTATATAGATGCAACGTCATTGTTGTAAATAAAGCATGTAGGGTATTCATTGATTGTTCAGTTCTCTGTTGAAGGACAAATGTATGTGTGAAGTATTACATACCTGTCAACGCTTCGACAATTACAGACGCAACTATTTGTACTCTGGTCGTTGAGAGAATAGAGAGTTAGGTTTACGTCGCTTTGTACTGACTTATCCCTGCGTGTCAGCCTGATGTAGGAGGAATGCCGAAAGTGATGGAAGTCGTAGCCGTTTACCTCTTTAGAGAATCTCAAGACCAAGCGTAGGTCTCACACTCCCCGAACCATAAATATTTTCCCTACAGCCTAGGCCTCCCTGAGTGAGTGAGTGAGTGAGTGAGTTTAGTTTTACGCCGCACTCAGCAATATTCCAGCTATGTGGCGGCTTCTTTTCCTTATATTTTATGATTATAATTTAGGAACATTTTTTCTGTAAAATACGTTCATTTCCAAAACTAGATTTTAGTCGGGTGTTAGTGCGTCAAATCAGGGTGAACCTTGGATTCGAACCAGGGACACTGGCTCAGCTGTATCAGGTACACTGGACCGCGAATTACAGCGCTATATACCACTATGCCACTTGTGTCAAGGAGCGTAACTACCTGTCGCTACTGGTAGCGCATGTCATCACTGATGCCCATAGCCTTACCAGCTGGAATACAACACACATATGTATCTGCCACGCACCTTGTCACCTTTGTTGAGTAACGAACACATGTATGTATCAGTATATCCTGTAACAAAAACAAATCTAAACTTGACTTTCTTCTTTTTTTAATCGAAATTTACACGTTCTCAACATGTTCATTTTTTATATGTATAACTGATTAGATTAATCATTTGGACGAAGTTTCAATTAAGCAACACGTAAAGTTATCTCCAGGAAACAAAAACATTACATCAAAAGTTATCTGTACAAGCCGACAGGCTCCCATATTCTGAACTCACATTCACAGAAACATCAGTTGGCGTGTCACAGCCTATGTTTTATGATTGTCAAACGATAAATCAGCAACAACGCCACATTATCAGGAATCACTTGATGTATATTTATGTAAATCGAGATAAGTATAAGTGGCTTGACACCCCATGTATTTCAGCCAATTTTATCTGCCCCTCCTTAATTGGGATTTTTTGGCCTCTTGAGTTGCGGCTCCACCGGCAGGGGGCGCTGATTGCGACGAGTCAGGTGATATCCATATGAGTGGGAGCGCCAAGGGGGATAATGTGAGATGGCTTCAAACCATATCAACTTTTTGAAATGTTTTTTGTGTGATCCAACATGGCAAGCTGTTGGATGATAATGGGTTGAGGAGTGTGATATTTGGTTGGTGTCAACATCTGTTTTGTGCTAGACCTGAGAAATGATATTGTTTTCGCATACACTTGCTGTCTTCACTGATTATCAGTGATCCATGCAAATAATTTTCAACACTATTTTGCTTTTTACGCCCAATAAAATCTGTTTTTGTGGATAATCGACACTTATTCTCTGCACCGACGTTGACGATTATCATCGAATAATCATCATACTGTACTTGCGGTGTTGTTCGAGTTTCAGACAATGCTGTGAACTACAAACTGATACCAGAATGTTGGTATATCAAATATGTTTGCGCGTAGTCAAACATAAACGGTCTGGATACTCAAAATACAGGAATCGTCCACAGGAGTACGGGCTGGTCCTGCAAGAAAACATTATCAAACAAATCATCGCCTCTGTCCATACACCAAAACCTCGTTAAACCGGACCCCTGTTTCTCGATATTTACTACCATACAACTGGGGGTCTTGACACAGTAATCGACGAGTGCTAATATTATTTTAAACAATGCCATTCTTTTGTTCAATATGGCAGTCAAAGTAAACATAGGCTCAGTATTATTCGTATAATAGTGTAACGAATAATACTGAGCCTAAGTTTACTTAGACTGTTCAGTGTGGATTATACGATCAAATGTAGCTCCATTAAGGAACACGTTACACAGAAAATGAAAAATACAAAAACAAAACAAAAACAAATGTGAATTCAAAATATGTGGCTCCAGGCAAAAGGAAGTATACACCTGAAAATTAGATTTGACCAAACAATTACAAACCTAATCATGTCATTACTGCCCTGAAAACATTTTCCGAACTATCCATATATATTTGTAAAATTATAAACTAATATCCTTAATTAAGCCACTTAACCCAACCTTCTGTCCTTCCTTCCCCAATACAGAAAACACAAGTGGTCAGGTAATCAGGGACAGGTTGCTGCAACAGAACTTTGTGGTAACAGTCTATCCGCTATATCCGATTTCTTGTCCAGAAGGAACTGTGTGCTGAACCATAGGTATGCGATGTTTAATGTTTCTATGCAGTGCTTTCTACAGCATTATCGCATTGACGACATTGCCAGAGTCAACGCATTGTAACTGTTTCATGTGACGTAATTGTTGCTATGTCCGAGAGTAGACCCTCTCTGTACATACATCCATGAACACGGTTCTGTTCACTAGAAACTTACAGTTTCAATGACATACACACACAGAATATAAACATAAACGTGTTTCCTTTGACAGAACTATGAACCTCGATGTCTGAGAGACTGAATTAAATTGTAATTAAGTCGGAGACGAATCAGAAATGTAAATGTTTTAAAACGAAGAAATTCAGGCACGTGTACCTCAGTCATCCGTGTATTCGCCTATATTCTGTCTCTGTCTTGATTTAACTCTGAACAAAGATATGGTAAGTTTTAATTCTCACATATATTGTTATGTGTCTCAAAGTCTTTAATGTGTGTGTGTTATTTGGTCTGTTCGAAACATTCAGTGCTTGTTCACGTAATTGCAAGTGCCGTGTTATGTTGGCAAACCACTAGCCTGTCTCATATACCTGAACCACATTATATTCCCTACCTACTAGCCCTCCCTGCAATGCTAAAGGCCTAAATGAAGCAAGTCTAGATTTCAATCTCCCACTTCACCCTTTTAAATGTAGATGGGTTTATTTGTTACTATCAAATTTATATACAGTGAGACCCCAGATACCCGGACCCCAAAGATCCGGAAACCTCGCCTTCAGGTCCATTTT